GTTCAAAATACTGTTTCCTTGGAAATTTTCCTTAAAATTAAACTTGTTTTCAGTTTGAAATGAAAGACTCAAACTGTCCATGGCATATTTTGAAACATTTAAATAGAGAAAAAATTAACATCTCATTTTTTGTTGTGATTTTACAGACAATAAGGATCTTATATTGGCATATTTCTACAAAATTTTAATGCAGAGTAACTATATTAAAGATGAAATGTGGAAACCTTTTTAGTGTACTGTGTTTCTGACCTTATAGAGTCAGTGAAGACAGTTTAGAAATCTATAAGAGAACATTATTCAAGCCTTTTATGTCTTTGCAAGTCACTTGAGAATGCCCTATAGAAGATCACTGAGTCTTATTGTTACAGACACTGCCGTTTTTTCTAGTTATACTCTTCTCTGAGATACAAACTTGATGGTAAAACAAACTGCATACTGTTGTATACCCAACATTTTTTTTCCAGAGTGTTAATTCTACTTTTCTTAATGGTTAATGCATTCAAAACAGTAGGTTTTTTTCTATTTTTCAGTTGTCCTGTTTATGGATGTAGACATCTTTTAGTGCTTGGGCTTAGGTTCCTTGCAGATATCTTGATAACTTAGGTTTTAACACTGTATGATTAAAGTTGCTTTCTTTAAATGTATAGCATGTAGGGGGTAAGATACCATGTTGATTACTTCAATTACTTCTTCAACACCAAAAGAGTTTATTTTTTAAAGCATCATGTAGCAGTTCCCCAGGTCTTCAGTTGAATATATAGGCGTAATGAAAGTCAGAAGGAATTTGACTCTTTGCATATAGCAGGTTACTAATGAAATCTTGGTAGTAGGGAGGCTTTTATGGTTTTTTCATTATGTAAATTTATGCTCAGTTATTTTACTTGTGTTTATAAATACAACATGGAATATTTTTTTTTTAACTAGAGAAGTGGTTATTTAATACTTAAATTTATCTTTAGCCACTGGTAAGCTTTCTGAGGTACCTGTGATTTGGTATAGTGTTTGAGATTCTGTATTCCTCTTTATGGAATGGGCAAGATATGATATAATTAACTTGAGTTCTGATTATCTTTCATATCGAAAGATCTTCCTTATCTTCAACACAGTGGCTGAAAATTCTACTGGAACAGTTATAAATAAAAATCAGAGTTGTGTATCTTTTATATGAACTACTGAGTTTTTTAATATCTCTTTTATCTTTTAGCAGTCTGCAGTTCTATACTATCTCTTACTGCTATTTTTTCCTTCTATTTGGCTCTATTTTCTTTTACTTCTCACATTTAGTCTATTCCAAGTAGAAACTTTAGGCTCCAGCAAAAATGTGAGTTTTCGACTAGACTCTGTGACTAGAAAGATACTTGAGGTGGAAATACTTATTGTGACCTTGCTCCTTCTTATACATCTCCCAGCAGAGAAGCCTAGGCTTTTCAGTATGCGTTAGAAGAAAAATAATAGGTACCATAGAGGCTGTATTTTTTGACATTTTCTCTTCTACTTTGTGGCAAAAAACTAAATCTTTAGCAAATTTTAAACTCTGTAGTTTTGTAGTATTCTAAAATTTCTGTGTTACTTTTTGTGAAATGTAATCTAGAAGATGTGCCGAGATACTAAAATGGTAATCTATATCTTAATTGAACTGGAACAAAAATAAATATGATTTGAAATGAAAAATCAAGACTCTCTAAGATGCACTTGCTTTCTTGGTCCTTAATACCAATTTGACTGCACTTTAAATTGGTTTCCAGCTATAGTCTCTTATTTCAGTCTCTCATGGGTTGATTTCATGTGTTCCATGAGTGGTTGTTTGTAATTTTTGGAGCTCCTATAAGACTTGAGCACTTTAATGAGTTGATGAGTATCAACCAGTGGGACTGAAATTGCTCAGAGAGAGGGGCTACTTAATAAAATGGGTCCCAGGCCACTTAGTTTGGTTTGCCAGGGAAAATGATCTTCCCACTGCAGCAGCCAGGGATGTTTGTGGGTGGGGAACTGAGGTGGAGGTACAGGCCTCAGGTGCTGAGGGAAGCAGTAAGGGAAGTGGAATGAGAACCACTATTATTCACCCTCACTGGTCTCCCAAACCACTCTGTGTCACGTCCGTTTTTGGAAGGTGCTGCAGGATGGACTGAGTGTGCTGCTTCCAGGTGTTGACACCTCCGTTTCCGAAGGACAACTCTTATGGCCTGACACAGTCTAAGTGGACCTGTTCTTTCTGTCTGTAGCAATCTCTTGGACCAACGCTATTTATGTGACAGGACAGCAAGAAATGTATCGTGACCTGACTGGGAACATTCTGGGCCTGCATTGCACTTGGGCTGCTTGTTATTCTGCCCTGCATTGTTATCATAGACCAAGGGAGGAAAACTTTAATGCATAGCTCTGCCACCATTATTGTCCTGATTCTTTGATGCGTGAAAGGTGAACCTTAAGCAGCAAATGGGAGGACAATTTATGTAATTCCTCCCACTGAAGCAATGACTCTGGACCTCTCCTGTGTCTTCAAAAAACAAACAAAAAGATCTTTTTAAGCTTGTGAAGGTTATAGGTGTGAGGAAGAGGAAAGAAAGTTAGTGGTTTGGTATACGTGCAACTCCTGTTGCTAAATTTTAGAGCATTTAAAGCCCATCTGTCATGGTACTGTTTTCCCCCTTCATTTATAGTGTACTAATCTAGTTGAACATGAGGTTAGCTATCCATCAACTATAACAAATAATAAATTAAGTTAATTAACAAGTCTTTAATTTCACTCACTTCCAAACTAAAAATTGTTGGTATTCCTTTTGCCTTGTGAAACATGTCTGTAGTAAATGTATTAATTATTTGACATGTTTTAATCTAACTTAATACTGAGTTTCTAGTATTAGCAATTGTCCTCGATGAAATGGTGTTAACATTGCAGGTAGGTGTAAGTGAATCCCAGAGAAAAATATATACTGTTGAATTCATCTTCTTACTGAGATGATGTCAGTGCCTAGTGCCTTCTGGTCATTGCCTGTGGGTGAAGAATCCTTGTTCCCAGCTGTATTAAATACAGTGGGTCTGTGTTTACAACTGTTGCTGAATTAAAAAGGAGGGTTGGAAGTTAGGATATCTAAGGGAGAGAAAAAACAGGTGGTACCAAAATGTTGTCTAGTTAATGATGTTCTATTTAGCATTTTACATTTTTGTGTAACCTTAATCTTGTTTCTGTAAGACTGCTGAAACAAAACTTTGATTGAGATGAAGGATGTTTTAATATGACTTGTGCTGAAAGGCATTTTGCAGTTCAGGGAGTTCTTTTAAGTTATCTGAAGTTATTTTTAAAAATAAATGTCCTTTCTTTAATAAGGTCACCTGAACAGGAGAGTGTGCAACAAGAGATTTTCAGTCTTTGCATGAGTATCCTTCATGCATTGAACTCCAGACTATAGTTATAACAATTCTGCTTTTATTATTTAAGACAAAATCAAGGATTTTCCACTTGTTGCTTTCCTTTATAATTGTTTTGTTGAATCTGCTGCTGCAGTGGAGCCTCAGTAATACAATTAGCAATGCAGCAACGACTAATCCTTTTGTTTGTTGCCCTTTGCCTCAGCTCTTCAGTATCTCTAAATGTAATATCTGCTATATATGGTTCTGAGGTTCCATTTCATGATGATGTATTGGAGGGAGAGGAAGATGGTACTATACATTAGAAATTACCAGAGTAGGGCATTTTTATCAAACATAGAAGCAGGTAAGGGAATTTTTGAAGTGGTCCATAGAAAAAGCAGAAGGCCTAGTACACAATTAAGCATATTGCTTCTGAAATTTCCTGCTCAATTTCCATTCTATGTGAAATGTATTTAAAATAGCTGATTAACCTGTATTTCTAAGTGAAATAGTTGCTTAAAAATTGCATTTTATGAGATGGGAATACAGAAGTCATGTTTGTTGACTTAAACTATTCTCAAATTGCCATGGGTGAATATTTTGTTTTCTTACAGTTTATTATTTCATGACAAATTTATGTCACTAATGTGAACTAGTGTCAAAATGCTTTGAATGTTTTGATAAATAGGGCATGTGAGGTGATTTTCAGATGCTTTCTTTAGTTGATCTGTGGGGGCTAGTTTATTGTGGGCAATGAGGGAATAGTGAAAGCCTAGCTTTTCATTTTGCTGTTTCTCTTTTTGTATTCCTGTTGTCTTGGTCATGACATTAGTTTTGCTTAAAGAACAAGCAAATTTGATTTTGCTAACTTCTGATAGTGTTATTGGAGGGGGAGGAAATTCTTCATTTCAACTTTTCAGTATTTGCTACTAAATTGTTAACAATTGTACTGAACACTAACTTCATTAAAACCATCTTTTGTAAAGCTGACTTTTGGACTTTATTGGCCTAGCAATGACTTGTTTAGACTTCAGATTACTGGGTAGCGTAGTAGAAATATTTTCCCCTCTTTGGTTTGCCATCAGTTTGCCAACAGCTAAGTAACATTGCCAGTAAATTTCTAAAGATAGCATTCTGCTCTGCAATACAGGCCTTTAATGTTTTAGTGTGATCTTTTCATCAGTGCTGGGCAAGGATGCATTTTGCTGCTGAAATAATGCACAGTTTTGCATGTATTTTATAAAATTACTCCTTCCAGATTGTCTGCAAAACATCATTTAGGTATGTTGAAGATGATGAAATTGGTATGTGTATTGCTTTACCCCTACTTTCAAAATAAGGCATGGCCTTTGTCTTTCTTTGTTGGTGCTTTAAGTATTATGGCTAATACCAGTATTCTCCATGGATAACCCAGGATGCTGAAAAGAGAAGAAAGTTGTGCTTACCTCCTGCATAGACAGAATCTGTCTGTATTAAACCATATATGCTAGAATTACTTTTCAACTCCTTTGCTGTTATGCCACTATTAAATGACCTCTCAGCAGCTTAACTGGTGTATGATTAGTCAGCACAGTGTTTCTGGGCAATGTCTCACGTACATATGTATTTTGTAAGAGACAGATACATTTCTTTTGTTCTTTCATTTTTAGTTACATGGGAATTGGGCTTTCGGCACAGGGTGTGAACATGAACAGACTACCAGGTATGTTCCAGTTACATTGGTTAACTGTGTTTTTTAAAAATATACTTCACCTTGATGGGAAGGTTTTGGTAAGCAACAGAGTGTAGCATGACATCTCTGTGTTGTATCTGTTATTGGAGTTATGTAACATTTGCAACTAGAAAGTTTAACTTTTACTGTACATTTGCTCCTGTACTACTTCCCTGCTCTTGGTGTTATTTATAACATTATGCAGATACTTTTTAGCAAACAAATACATTTAAAATTTTTTGTCATGTTTCCAGATAAAAACGAAGCTATAGATTTCTATGCTCTGCAATCTGAGTTTCTAGCTATAAAGATGAGCTACTGTGATAAAAACATTTTGACAAACATGGATGAACTCTTCTACTGGCAGTTTCTGTATAGTTACCTTTCCATCCTTAAGTGAGGGTGTGTGGCCTAGTTTTCCGTTTTGACTGTTCCATTGACCTGCATGATCAGGGACAGTCTTGTTAACAATTGTTTGCAGTATCTCTGTAACACTTACAGAAGTTTTGTGTGTGTGTACATGTTGCCTTTTTTTAAATAGATCTTTAAATGTGTAAAAAATACCCACCCTAAAACAAAAACCAACAAACTTTTTTTAAATTGTCAAAGTATAAAATTATGTTGAATTGACCTTAGAGTATCTGCATTGCATTATAACTTTTTAACCCAACTGTTCTCATAAAGCTTCTTACAATGATAGCAGTGTCTCAGTTACACTGCGTGTCCAGCTAAGGGTGATGGATTGTTAGTGGGTGGCATTGTTTATTTTGAGTATGATTTAGGATACACTGCAAATAATTACAGATACTACCAATCAAAGTAACTACAATAATTTGGGATCTTTAATTTACTGAGAGATGCTTAATGTCGTACTAGCTGAAGCTACTGATTGTACAGGTTAAGGGTCTAAGTGTGGAAAATACTTTCAAATTAACCTGTTAGGCAGCAACTTGACTGAAAAAGCTCAGTATTGAATTGCAAAGAGTGTAGACAGGTATTTTTAAATGATCACAGACTAAAATTGCTTGCTGTGAATTTCATTGAGTACTGTAATAGTCTGAAGCTTCTTAGAGGTGCTGCAGCTTCTTCACCACTAAAATCAGCACCGTATTTGCATACTTAATGATTTGTTCCTGACTGTGACTTTGACCTGTATTGATAATCTTTTTCCTTTTCATTTAATTTATTTTAATTTTTAGGGGCAGCAAAGATAGTGGCACTTTAGTCTGGAGATTCTGCTATTATACAGAGGCTGCTTGCTACTGAATAGTCATTGAGAATGATCAGGAGTAGAAATGTGCTTCCCCAGAGACGCGTGTTTGGGGTTTAGCCAGGAAGAATCTGATTATGACATATGGTAGCAATAGTTTTGCAAAATGAAAGGGAGAACAGGAGAATCTTCACTGCTTTGCTGGGACATGTCAGATCTGTATATAGCTTTTCAAATTTCAGCATTGTAGCTGATTATATTTTTGGTGTTGGTAATTTTGTATGTTCATTTAAAGAGAAAAATGTGTTATCTGAATTTGCATTATCTGTTATGTACTACAAACAGAATTACTTGTTCAGCCATTTTGATAAAAGAAGTTGTCATTTTTTAAATTGTACAGATTTCTTAGATAAGAAATCTTAGAAAGTAGGAAGCTGAACATATTAATTAACCATATGAACCTGGTTAGACTATACCAGCTTTGTGTAGTCTTTAATTTATTAACTAATAAAGGAAGCGAATAAATTGCAAATGCTTTTGTTCTCTAGGTTGGGATAAACATTCATATGGTTACCATGGAGATGATGGACATTCATTCTGTTCCTCTGGAACTGGACAACCCTACGGCCCAACGTTTACTACGGGCGATGTCATTGGTTGCTGTGTCAACCTTATCAATAACACCTGCTTCTACACAAAGAACGGACACAGCTTGGGTATGGAGAAACATTGCCATTAATGATAACAGTATGTCTTCAAGTCTGTAAATATGAAACTCTCTTCATGCCAGGAGCAGTGTTTGAGTTGTTCTTTTGATAGTTTGATCATCAATGAAGTAATAAAAGAATTGGGAAGAATAATTTCTTGTGTGCCACTTGCACTAACATTCCTTGTGCATTTGGGAGGATTTATTCATATAACATCTCATTCTACAGGATCTGCGTTAATGAACTCCACTACTAAATCTACAAATAAAACTTGATGTTTATAAGATAATAGATAGTAAGGGAGGTGGAAATAGCTAAAATTGATTTCTGCTGTACGGGGGACACCTAGCCTTCACTAAAACCTTACATTGGATGGGTGTTATTTTGAGCATATGTTGGAGAACAGTGTCTTTTGGATTCCCTGTCTGGAGCCATTCATAGTTGGGCTAAAGCCATAAATTATACAAGTTTGCTAAAATTAAGTCCATTAAATTCTTGTGGTAAATTGTAGTATTAAGCAACACTGCAAGATAATTTCGAGTTTGGAGATATCAGGAGTGGGTAGAGTTAAAAATTTTGGTGGAATATCTATTTCAGTTCCTTAATGCAGTTTAATGAGCAAAGATACAATGTAAAACTAAAAAGAAAAACATTGCCTTCCAGCATTTAGGGGAGGGGAGGGGCTTGGGAAGAAATCTTGAAATTGTGCTGAGCAGAACAGGAATTTCGAAGGGATAAAGCCCAAAGAAGAATAAGGCTTTTGTCATGGGTAGAAATGTGATAAGGAAAAGAGAGGGTAGCTTGAAATGAAATAAGAAGTTATTGAGACAGGTATTCTTGAAGTTGCTGTTCTGTTTTCTCACATTGGCAAACATGAAGAAGGTTTGGAAAGTAGTAAGGGAAAGGACACAGTTTAAATTATTTTCCTAGTCTGTCTGAACAAGACTGCCAGTTTGTTTGCCCTGAGCAAACACATCTGACTTGGAAGTTTTCCTGCCCCTACTCAGAGCAGGGCTTAGGTGTCTTCTGAGGTCAGTTCCAAGTAATCACTTCTGGGATTCTATTTTATCGTGATTTAATGTTCCTTCTAAATTGAATGAGTCTGTATACCTGGACTCACTATCTTGACACCTAGGGCAGTAGGTGACACCTAGGGCACTTGAACCATGCGCTGTGGAGTTGTTTCATTTGACCCTGTTGCAGGTTATGTCCAAATGGAAGATAATGGGCTCGTGTTTGCCTTAATCTTTAGCTGAGTTAAACAGAGAAAGGTCATCTTACTTATTCCGTTTTTGAAACTAGCAACGGTGTGCCTGCAGGTAGGTTGGATCAGTTGATCAACTAAAGAGACACTAGTTTTCGTGACTACCCTTATGGTCACATTCATGAAAGAGCTAAAAGGGAAGAGCAGAACCCTCTTTTTCAGTGACAGACTTAAAGCAGACTGGATTAGGCCAACTGTGAAACAACACTGCAAGTGATTACAATCTGTTTTTAAAGGAGAACAGAATGGCATAGGTGAGGAGAGGCTAATAAAATGTCATCTGTCATAGACAGAGTCTGACAAACACTTCATGGATTTCAGAAGGAAAACTGACAGCTTTTCTGCTGTTGTGGGCTTTGCTGGCTTGAATTTCTGACAGAGGAAAATTGATTCTGTGTTGAGTGGAAAAAGAAATCAGAAATTTTGGCTGTCTTGCAAAGATGTTGCTGCTGCTAGTTGTCCAGAATTCTTATATGATTGTGACTTGGAGGACATTTATGTTTTTTCTCTGGGCCACAGATGCTCTCTGAAGTATAGGAAATCTCTTGCTTGGCCTAGGATATGATAAAAAAAGGGCTAAGCAATTTTCATGCAAGTTTGAAATCCTGGGTTGAAAAAAAAAACCACAAAACCAACCCCCCCCCAAGCCCCCAATACCTACGTATCACTCAGTTGTCATTCATCTGTCATGCCTACAGCCATGACTATTTTGGAAAAGAGCAGGTTGGATGTTAAAATGTGCCAAACAGAGAAAGTAGTAATAGCTTAGGAAAAGTTAGGATGAGAACAGGTAATAAATAAAATAATAGCTTTGAGATGTGATGGAAGGAAAGAGATTGATTCTGTATGTCAGCTTTTTGTCTCAAAGATGTGAGTAAGGAATCTAGATGCTCCTGAGATTTGAAATCTTGGTGAAGAATGGAGATTGAAAACAGGGGTGTAATTTAGAACAAAAGATAAAAAGCTTTGTTTTCATCCTAAATTTGAAAAGGCAGTGATACAAAATAAATAAGAGTTTGAAGGGATAAGTGGATTGGAATAATTATGTATTTGTTAAAAAAAAATAAATTAAGAAATACTTGCGACAATGAAGGAAATTATGAAATACTGTTATTTGGCTGTCAGAAGGTGATTCCTGATATTTAGTTTTTAACTGAAAGCTTCCCAGCCCCCAAAATTGACTGAAATTCTTGAGGTGTATAGAGGTCAGATGTTTCTCTAATCCTGAGACAGCAAAATCACTCCCTTGGTTTTACGGGTAGATGGATGCTTGTAATTATGTAACAACATATTAAGCTCTTCTGTTTGAAAACAAAAACCTGCTGGCATGGATTAGAGTGGAACGTTTACCAGGCTGATTTGGAGTATTGTAGGCATGTGCCTTGTGTAAAGATCTTGAGTACTTATGAAGAACAGTGAGAGCAATCAAGAAGAGACACCATTAAATTTTGATGTTGCAGCATCAAGACATGCAAGTGAAGAAGTATCTTCATATATTCTTACATTTCTTCTTATGTTTAATACGTAGCTAGAATTTTCATACTTTCTAATCTGCATATGTATATGATGTTTTTTAATTCTTACGCCCTATTTTGGAAAAATTAAGGGCAGATTGAGTATTTTTGAATGACAATTTCTTTTTGTCCTTTATTACTTAAAAACATGAGTTGTACCTAAGCATCATGGATTTCACCATACTTAATTTTTATTTCTGAGATGATTTGGGTGAGTTTTCTGAACATATAATAAGAAAATGAGGCTAAAATCCAGACACATGGAAATTAATCTTAATTTTCTCTTCATTACAGGCATCGCTTTCACAGATTTACCGGTAAGATAAGTGCATTTTCAAACAGTTTTCCTTTGTACCATAAAGTGATGTTTCAGATCAAACTGGCATTTACCTTATGCTTCTTGGAAATACAGTGATAATTTTCTTAACCAATTTAATATCAGATATTTCTCTTCATCACTTCAGTGGTGATTTGTTAATTGAAGCAGAAAGTTTTTTTTGTTTTACACCAATACTTTACGAGGGGTTTTCCTTTTCAGGTTTTTAACAAGCAGTTCTAATGGAAGTTTTAGGAGAAAATGATACATACAACTAGTTATTACATACTTTGACACGTTCAAGCCTTACATACAAAGTCAAAGCTATATTAAACACCAACACAGTGCATGGCTGTTTGAGATGTGGTTACTGTAATTCATGCTTGATGCCTGATTTTCAAAAATCTTTGCTTCACAAGATCAGACATAGCAAATTAATTTTTTTAAAGAAAGCTACATATATCTGAAGTCTTGTAGCTTTTGAGTCAATTAAATTGTGCTTTCCTTGAAATTGGTATGTGTTCCCTATGCTACTGGTACAGGCACAATACTGCTCTTACTTTGTTTTATTTTTCTCATTCACTTCATTTCTGATTTAATCTGGTTAAGGTGCAATGTGTGATGCACATACTGGCCAGCTACTCCATTTGCTGTGGCCTTGGGAGGCAAGGACAAATATTAAAGAAAAATGAAGTCAGTAACCCAAGGAACCTCTTAGTCCTGCCACAAGGTTGAATGTTTTATGCAGGAAGCCACTGCCACTATCCTGGATCTTTGGGATGCTAGCAGGGCTCCTTGCTACCGTATGGTGCCAGCCCAGCAAAACTGACACTACAATCTGAAGTATGAAACTGGACCCCTCCTCATTAGAATTGATTGGTTTTGTCTCGTTAAAAGATTTCAGATTTCTACTTTGTTGATTAGACTAGACTAGGTAACACTATGAGCAATGTTTATTAAAAAAAGAGAGGTGTATGTGTGAAAATAGAGGCAAGATTGGCTTGGGCATGGTTTGAAAATAGAGTATTTTTCTTTCATTTCACATGCATGTTGATAGCTTCTTACTGATAGCTATAATTTATTTAGCATATAGCTTTGTAGATCAGCATACCATTATACTGTTCCACCATTGTCTGCATTAGAAATATCATGTAGGTGTATTTATAAATAACTTTTAAAAAAAATTTTAAAAAATCCCCCCCAAAAGACCCCAACAACAAAACCCCATTCACCCAATTGATTGCATTGCCACTGCTGAGATGTTCATTGCATTTAAGAAAAATTACCTTTATCTCAACAGGCAGATTTTACTTTTCTCATATTTGGCATATTTCAAATTTGGATGGAGACCTAATCTCTAAGCAGAAAATGAAACTGAGACAACAATAAATGCTTTAAAGTCTCTTTCTAGATACAAGTCCAGGAATTCACGAGAACTTCAATGCACTGTTACAGTTCTTTTTAGGTGCTACACTTGGACTTTGGGGCTATTGAGTTTTCTGTCCTGTCAGTTCTTACCACTAAAATTCAGCGATGTTTTAACTATTTCACCCCCAAAGGAAAATGGCCCACTTTGTAAGTTTAATTTTTGTTCTCTTTTTAAAAGAAAAAAACTGGTCTTTAAAAATCATCCAAAAATTGTTATTTAATATTTTGTAAAATTAAACCCAAAAGTCGTAAACTTTAGCACAGTTTAAAATGTGAATTTTCAGATTAGAACAATCAGTCTTTCTTCTTTCAAACTAAAAAAAATTATGATCACTGGGAATAAAATTAATCAGTCATTGTATTGCTGTATTGGCAGAAGCTTTTGCTGCTGGACTGATGGTCCAGAGGTATTTTGTTATTCACACTACTAGTAGCGGTGGGGGTATTATTACAGAGATGAAAAAAAAACCAGAAAGTGGGGAATTCAGAATAAGAGGAAAAAAACTAACTAAAAATTTTTTTGCAGCCAAACTTGTACCCTACAGTAGGGCTTCAAACACCAGGAGAGGTTGTGGATGCTAATTTTGGACAACACCCATTTGTATTTGATATTGAAGACTATATGCGAGAATGGAGAACCAAAATTCAAGCACAAATTGACAGATTTCCAATAGGAGATCGGGAAGGAGAGTGGCAAACAATGATTCAGAAGTAAGACTTTGGATATTGTTCATTTAAAAAACAAGTTACTTGAATGATTTCAGAGACTCTTTAAACATTCCGTCTATTGTCTTGTGCAAAAAATGATAGATAGTATTAAAAATTAGTACAAATAGTTTTGTTAACAGGTTTGATGAGTATAAAATGGAGCATGAATAGATTTTGTGGAAGAGTTGTCTGTGTTGTTAATTTGGAATTTATAACTGTGAGTGTAAGGCTTCTATTCTAATATGACCTATCTAATGTGGATTGGGGAGTTTAGCAAAGTTGCTGTGGTTATATTGGGTGGGTTTAATGCCCAAAGTTTCCCTTTGTGTTCTCAGCCTTTCGCATGCCAGGTTAAGTTGTGCCTAATTATGTTTCTTGGAGAAAATGGGGGTTGTGACTTTGCATCTTTTTATTTTTTCAGTGTAAACAAAAACTTATTGTGAAGAAATTTCCCTTCAGTGTATCTAATGAGCAAAAAAAGAAACTTAATTAACAATTAATATTTGAATTGACCCTCCTTTTGGGTGATGAATAATTTTTGTTAAAATTCATCATAATAAAGTTATACATTGATTTTTCTGTACAGTTTTGAAGAAGATACTGGTTCTTAAGTGAATTACTTTTGTCTGACTTGCACAGAAATCTCTGAATTTCAAGTAGAATTCTTTAATTATATCACTTTTTTCAGAGAAGATTTTTTTACATTCAGAAGTTCTTGGTTTCTTACCTGTATGTATTTCTGGATTTTGTTTATTTTTAGAATGGTATCATCTTACTTAGTTCACCATGGATACTGTGCAACAGCAGAGGCATTCGCCAGATCCACAGACCAGACTGTGCTAGAAGAATTAGCTTCCATTAAGAATAGACAAAGTAAGGCTGGAAAGCATGTTGCATCCCTTTTTTCCTCGCTTAAAAATTACATGAAACTTTCTCATAAGCACCATTGTAGAATTTCCTTGCAGCACTACTCCATAGTACAGTTCTTTGCTGTCATATAAAGTTACACAGGTATGAACAGCTGGTTACAAAAAATTTGTTCAGTAACGCTTTGGAAGGTGTTTGGTGTAGCAGAATGTGGTAAAGTACATTGTTGTCTTTTTCTCTTGAATGAAAAATGTGATCTGTCTTAAACAAATGTGTGTAATGTCTCTAAATGAGTGTTTGTGAGAGCTAACGGTCAGTCACAAACAGGAGTATAAAACTCAATCTTGACAAACATTTAGATTTTTATCTTAACTGTGAAAAGAGATTGAGTTTAGAGAATGCTTTATTAGTTAAACTTGAGTTTTCCTGTTTACAGATGTGAGGGGGAAGAGGACAAGGAGATCTAACAGCAGTTGAGTTCTAACTTGCCATGGCAGGGCTCTTGGGCAGCCCGATTAAACAGTGCCTTCCTCATCCATTTAAATCTCTCCTCTATGAACATAAGCAGTTGTGTTACTGCATGACATACCACATGGGGAAACTACTCTGGTTGTAAAATATCCCATTTGTTGGGCCGTTTTTCATTTGGATGAGTTTCTCTGTCAGTGGATAGAATGGTGAGACTGTTTGCAACTTGTGCTAAGTTACAGCCACAGAAGTATCCACTAAAGCAGGGACTGTTGTGAAAAGCTTTACTCAACTGTAACCTGACTGGAAGTATGTGTTGTAGGTGAGAGAGACTAAATTTTTGTTTTTCTCAGTCAAAACTGAACCTGTGGGAGTGGGATGCAATTTGGATGTTTTTGAGTGACAATAGTTTGGTATGTGCTTATTTATAAAGTTGTGAAAATGAGAAGTAAATTGTAGAGAGTGTCTGTAGTCTTATTCTAGCTCTAAATGCACAATCTGACTACAAAGCAGTTAGATGCTGGCAATAAATATACTGAGTTCTCATTTAGATATATGTAGGTGGAGTGCAGTTCTTAAATTTTCCTTTTGAACGTTTTAAGGAAGCATGATCTTTCTTTACACTATTTTTTTCTAAGAGAAAAAAAAAATCTTGTTGATTGATGGTTGCAGTGTCTTTTAATCATTAATGTACGTGTATTAATCCATAAGCTGTCCATTTAACTGATGTTGGTTTTGGTGAACAGAAATTCAGAAATTGGTTTTGGCAGGATGAATGGAGAACCCATTGAAACAACATAACAGCTGTATCCAAGTTTACTAGAAAAAAATCCTAATCTCTTATTTGTTTTTTGGTGAACAGGAATTCAGAAATTGGTTTTAGCAGGAAGAATGGGAGAAGCCATTGAAACAACACAACAGTTGTATCCAAGTTTACTAGAAAGAAATCCTAATCTCTTATTTGCATTAAAGTGAGTCTTCAAATTATACAGATGTGTGTTTATAGATGGCACAGTACCTTCTGAGTCAAGACAGTTACTCATTTAAAGCTTTCACAGAAATTTAAACAAAGTTAAGCAGCGCTTTTTAGAAAATGTGTATATTTCACTTTTTTATGCTCTTCTTATTTGCTACATGTTTAACTAGGTTTTGTCATCAAGCTCCTGGTTTGCAGCATAATTCACATCTCCCTGTAGACCTGTTCTATAGAACTAAGTTTTGTAGTTTTTTAAATCAATTTTAATTCATTTGGGTGTCAAGTAAAACTTAAAATGAAAAGTGATACAGTATCACATTCAAGAAGATTAAGAATCCTGTTGGCATACATTAGTCTGTTCCTCCAAAGGGGTGACTGACTTTAAAGATCAGTTTAAATGAGGTGTTTCATTCCATGTCACTTTACTAGAAACCTCTGGCTAAAACTGTGGAAATTCCATAATCCCAAAGAGTTCTCTTGGCTTCCCAGGCACACGATAGTTACCTTCATTCTGGCATTTTTACTTGCCAGCTGGGCTGTTCCTCCAGAATTTTGTATCACATTGCAGTGTTTGAATGTCGAAAAAATCTGTTATCTCCTGTAAGAACAAAGCACTTTAGTTTTATGTTCAGTTAAGTAACTTGGAATGTGTTTGAAGTCTGTCATGCTCAAGTGCTGAACAGAATTCACGTGATATAGTACTCCAGACTTATCACAGAATTCACAAAATGTGAACATTTTGATGAAACACTTCACTTGATAACGTCAGTTGTATGTTACCTTTTTCTCAATCTGTTGTTCTAAATTTTTAAATTTGGTCGTTCAATTTTGTTATTGAAGCATAAAGCCGTAGTTCTGAGCTTTCTTAAAGTCCATACTAAAACCTTCTTATCTAAAATGCAATTGACAAAGAGCAACAGCCTCTAAAGGGAAGGTTTGTATACGAGCTTGTTTTTCAAACTGTTTTCTAGTGCAAATGTTTAATGTTAAGAGTTATTACCCTTTGCTATTTCAGACAGTCAAACTATATTCTCATTTACTTTGAGAGAAATGACAGACAACAACATACCAACGTATCTTTCTCAAGAAATAACCTCGCCCCTGCCAATAAAACAAAACAGTTAAGAAAATATAGTTTAATTCTCTAAACCTTGACGATTTGCTGACAAAGTCTGTCCTTGAAGGATAATATTCCTGTTCTCCTCCCTCACAAATTTGCAATTGCTTATTTTTGGTGGAATACTCCAAAGCTCATTGACGATTGGGTTACTGACATCCAGCATTTTGTTGAGTCAGTCTTGTTCTGTACTTAACACTAAAATGAAATCATTGCTATCATTGGTAATTTGAAATGTGTAAATTGTTTTATTAGCTTAACTTTCTGCCTTTTGTTTAGGGTGCGCCAGTTTATAGAGATGGTGAATGGTACGGACAGTGAAGTGCGGTGTTTGGGAGGCCACAGTCCAAAATCTCAAGATAGTTACCCTGTTAGCCCACGATCATTCAGTAGTCCTAGCATGAGTCCCAGCCATGGAATGAATATTCACAATTTGGCAACAGGCAAAGGGAGCAGCACACACTTTACTGGTAAGTTGACGTGGAGGATGTACCACATAGATTTGGAAATACCACACCTGTTTGTTTTACTTAAGATTTTATACTGAATGCTTTGTATAACAGTATAATTTTAGTGATTAAAATATGTGATTTTCAGTCACTGGGCAAAGTGAAGGTTTCATCATATGTTTTTTGCATGTGCTGTTGTTTTTACTATGGGTTTGCAAAGCAGGTTGTCACCAATTTCTAAGAAAGGCTTCTCTCTGGGAGATGAAAGGTTCTGATAAAAAATTTCTGTTTTCCTTTTGATGATAATTTATGGCTTAGGCAGGGTGGTTTAAATCCAGTAAGTGGTGTATATGAGACCTTTCCTATGGTGTTGATGGAGAATTGGGAACATCTGCGCTTATGTAGGAAACACTGAAAGCTCGGTGGTGGAGTAGGGAAAAGACTTTCTGCTGGCAGCCACATTTCAGCCTGAACAATTGAAACAGTTCTCTGAGTATTTAGGTAATCGGAATCTTCAGTGGGAAGCCATGAATGTTTGAGGCTGCCAGTGAGGAGATCCTTGTGCCTTCCAGAGCACCACTACAGAGAAGAAGTTGAGCATGTTAAAATAGTACGTGAACGTGTCATCCTTGAAGACAAGACTTAAGATAGCAGAGACCATCCGCTTTCACTTCTGTTTACTTTCGAAATCCATACTGGAGCTGATTGGGTGTGCTTTATTTAACTTACTTTTCTCTCTCTGGGATGGAACGGGAAGCCAGTGTAGCCTGGCCACCAGAATAACTGCTGCCCTTGGAAGGGACAGCAACTTCACTCTTCTTCCCTCTGTGTCAAGGGAATGCCATCACATGTGTCAGTGGAGATCCACTCAGATTTTCTCGTTGTTCTTCAGGTGGTTATTTGGATGTATTGTAGAAAGGAGGTTGTAGCCAGGTGGGGGTTGGTCTCTTTTCCCAGGCAGCTCTCAGTAAGACAAGAGGGCATGGTCTTAAGCTCTGCCAGGGGAGGTTTATGTTAGATACTAGGAAGAAATTCTTTACAGAGAGGGTAACCAGGCATTGGAATGGGCTGCTCAGGGAAGTGGTGGATTCTCCATCCCGAAGATGAGACTGGATGTGGCACTTAGTGCCATGGTCTAGTAGCCACAGTGGTAGTGGATCAAGGGTTGGACTCGATGATCTCAGAGGTCCTTTCCAACCTGGTTGATTCTATGATTCTATGAAAGTACTTCTAAGTTTTCTAATTTTGAAAATAGAGGCACCCCTTAATAAGCAAGTTGATGAATGTATTATTAGAATTGAGGTTTGGGATTTCCTAAATGGTAGCAGCTGTTTTCTTAATAATAAGCCCTTTCTGTGACTTGCTTCTGTATTAGAAGATACTAGGGAGCTCCTGGTTCAATATTTGCTTCAATTAATAGTTTTTTATCTTATTTTGCAAGGGTCAGAAGAGATTTTAACCAGATATTGTTATTTCACAGCATCGTCTAATTTTATTTAGTAAAGCACAATATTAACAGTAAAATGTTACGTGGTGAAGGAGGGAGGTTGTATAGCAACATGCAAGATATTCAGCATCAAATTCTACTGCACATTTATCAAAAGAATTCTGTGATTACAATTAGTAAGGTGCATGTTTGCTTCCATTCATGATGACTACAGTGACCTAGAAAAGATTTTTGGATCTTTCAGAAACAATGCATCAGTTCTAAAAGAAGTTATTCTGTTTTGGTGCAGTTTTCTACTTTACTGGTGTATTAGTACAACTGAAAAACATTCTCATGTCTATGTTCGTAATTGTTATATATAATAATATTAATAATATGTAATGTATATATATATATATATAATATGTTATATATAATAATGCTTAACTTCTGCACTGTAGAAAATTTAAAGGTTCCTGAAACATGGAGGCAAAGTATTTGGGTTAGTTTAGCAAATCTAGCGTTTACTGACCAGGAACAATTATGCTCTACTTATTTCACTATTATAAATTGGTACTTACAAATAAGTTTGTAGATGGTTATAATTGTTAAAACTTTCTTTCAGGGTTTGAAAGTAGTTGCAGTAATGGAGTAATATCAAATAAAGCACATCAGTCTTACTGTCACAGTAAACACACGACCACCAGCTTGAATGTACCAGAGCTAAACAACATAAATGTATCAAGATCACAGCAGGTTAACAGCTATTCCAGGTGAATAAACTTCAGATGCTTCTAACTTATATTAAGACTTGTGTTGTCCATGTGCTTGCATTACAGGGAAGAATTTTCAGTGGAATTTGATGTCATTTTTTTTTTTTCCTCAAGGACATTTGAAACACATAGTGTAAGGGGCCAACAGCTTGTGATCACTCTGGTGTGCTTTTGTGTTATTTTGATGACTCAAGCTTAATAGGCTGTTTTCTCCTCTTGGGTTAAAGAAATGCAATGGACAAAAATAAATTATCTGGCTTATAGCTATTTATGGTCAGTTTTGAAGTTGTACAGTGAAGGTTAACTAGCTTTCTGGCATTTGGGATTTTAATTTAAGCCACTGACATTGATTTAAGTTTGTTGCATGTAGGTAATGAAAAGTTTCCCAGATACTCTCCATTTGTGCTACTATCTGCAAAGTAAACATTGAGATGCATATGAAATGTGGACTTCCTTTTGTTTGTATATTCCAATCACTGTCACATTCAATTCAGAGAATGAAAATAAATTTATTAACCAGGTTTAATATGGTTATTCATCACCAGTAACTCTGGGTTGCGTTGATGCAGCAGAACCTAATTTGATGTGAAATGCAACAGTACTTGGCTGCGTTGTCCAAAATGGATTCCCAAAACTACCATGTAGGGTGTAATGATGCAGTGGTGATAACCAAAAGTATTTCAATTGGATAGTGATAATTGGGGTAAAAAAGTAAGAGTAACAATTTACTTTTTAACTTCATGATTTCTGTTTGCATCAGCATTGCCTCTGCCAAAAAGCCTGGCAGTGTCCAGGCAACTTGGAGATTTTTCACAGGAGGAAGACAGTTCCTTGGCTGTGATATTGCTCAGTTGGAAAGGCCTTTTGGTTTCTTTCCTCAAAGGAAACTTGAGTATTTTTGGTTGCTTTGAGGCAAGATATTAAACTTCTAAATTTGATATATGTGGTCTTGACAGAGGTTTTAGGTTGTTATTCTCCATAACAAAATAGAACAGTTTAGGATGCAACTGTCAGCAAAGCTCAGTCCCCAAAACTGTACTGGCATTTTCTGAAAGCACTTCTGTGACCTGCTGTGAGCAAAGTATGGTGAGGAATTGAATGCTTTGAATTTGCCTCTGAGTATCTCTTCAGTGTTTTGGTTTACTCAGCATTTGCTTTAGGGTTTTCTTTTTTTTGTTTTTCCCCTGTCATTCCACTGAGAATAAATAAGAAATCAAGGCATTTTCGAAAGAATTAGTTACCTAAATACATTTTCAAAGTAGGCTGTATATAGACTTAACTATATTTAAAAAAAAGTGGTAATAATATATTTTCACAATGCATTTTCTCCATCTCTGTGTATATAAAGATATATAAACAAGGTAAAAAATTTTTTGTGTGTATCTAGAAAGTGTTATTCCTTACTCCTGAATAATAGGGGACGTATTTAATTTTTCAGCATCTGAAAGTACTATTTTACCGAATGTTAACATTAGTTGAGACAGCCTTACAATTTCCATGGTGCTCTGGTACCACCAGTTGCTATGGAAGAAACTGTGGTCTAACTTGGTAATATTTAAGGCAGCTTTTCAGTAGCCAAGATGAGGAAGTACTGTGATGAAGTTGTGAATATAATCTAGGTACTTAAATATGAGTAAAACTTGTATTTATTACTCTTTTTTCAGCAATGATGTAGACATGGAAACAGATCACTACTCCAATGGGGTTGCTGAGACTTCGTCCAATGGCTTCCTAAATGGTAGTTCTAAACATGATCACGAAATGGAAGAATGTGACACAGAAATGGGTCTGCAGTGATATTTCTTACATTTTTATTAAGTGATGGCAACAAGGTTATGTTTTTACTTGCAATGCTTCCCAACTTGAAAATTAGGGTTATTAGCTCAAATCTTAATTTTTTGTTTGTTTGTTTTGCTGTTACAAGATGTAAATCTTATAACCACTGATTTAGGTGGTCCAGTATCAGTGTGAGAATAAGGAAAATAAGTAACTTGTGGCTATTGAAACTAGCATTAATTTCTAAGGAAGTACCTTTAAGAAGAAGCACCCTGTTGTGTAGCATCCCTGGCTTTGGGTTGGCACATTGTTTCTCCCTCTTCCCATTCACGGTTCTCATGGCATCTTTGTGCTTCACAGTAAGTGTAGAAATTCTAAATCTTTATATTGAAGAATGCAAAGTGCTAATATTTAATGCTCAAGGAAACCGCTATATTTGGGAAATGTAGAAAAAAATTAAAATAATTTTTTCATTTTTTCCACTAAAAAATTACTGCTTGTATAGTTGTGGTCTAAAAATTACCTCTGTTTTACTTAACTTGCTTTATACTCAGTCATACCTGTTGACATTGATGACAAATGAATATTTAAATCCTCTCTGATTGCCCTTTGTGCAGCTGCAGAACTAGGTTTTCAAACAATTGATTTAACCAGACATCAGTTAATAGGTAGTTTAAATGAAATGTGAAACTCGAGACTTCCAGAATGCAGCAGTCTGGTCAAGCACATACAGAGGTCTGTGACTGCTTCACAGTTCCAGGAGCAAGTGTGTTGCTCATCCTGCAGCTTTGCTGGTAAATACCAGGTAACTGTTGAACAGCAAATGTAATTCTGGTACAGCCATGAAGCAGGGAGATACAAGTTGCCAGGCTGTTTTCCTTGCATTATGCTCTGGAGCTAGATAAAAACAGGGCCCTCATTTCCATGACAGAACAACCAAAATACTTCTTTACTCTCTTGGAGCCTTTTCCTCGGAGACTTGTGACAGACATGCAGCGGCTGCACAGGGCACAGAGTTGTTTGTGCTTTTTGTAACATAGTTTTTTTTCTGCCTTTGGAAACTGATGTCCTGGATTAGCTGCACCACTACTTGAAGACTTGTGGGTGCTTCACCTTTTTAAAAAAGAAATGTGGCTCCTCCACCTACACTGTTTACTGCCCCCAGTCTGAGTTTGGTGGTTTTTCACTTTTTGAAATGTTTATATATTCTCCTTAGTGCTGTGTATGTAATGTCCAGTAGGCAAGTATTTTCCAGAGGTTTTATGCCTACATCTAAGGAAAAAAAAAAGGTGGCCAGTTAAAAATCCTTGTTTGAAATAGTAGTCAGAATACATCACTAGATAGCGGTGTAAAGTCAGAAAGAAGAATAGTTTTGTAATTGAAGTGTACCTCAAAATGCACATTTAAAACTTCCATTGATAAAAAAAGGCAAGGAACGGATAAATGCCTTTTCTTTAATATGTTGCTTTAATTGTAAATTTTAAAAGGACAGAACTTTCAGAGAAGCCAAGGATTGATTTACTATTCATAATTTGCATCAATATTTTTTAAAATCACTAGTGTTGGGGAATGTTGTAGCAAACAGTAAAGAAATCAATGGTAATGTTCTGCTTGATTACAAAAGAAGCCTGAAATGTCTGAATTATTAAGATAGTATATTCTACAAGGAGTATGAACAGTCTAAATGATTGTCTTGTAGCAGACTCCATCATGGCTGTTCAGGAAGTTCAGGGGTTTTTACCCTCTTTTAGCAGTTCCGGATTTGGCACATCTTTAGAAGTGCAATACCAGAGAATTAAAAAAGTAGAACTGTGTGGATTTTTATTGTTGTTTTTTAAACTCCCGTAAAATTTTAGGATAAAATTTGGTTTATAGTCTAGTTAGTTTTAAATTAATCATTGCAAAATAAACAGCACATGTCAACAGCCTCTGCTGTTAGTTAATGAAGTCTCTTAAATGTTTATAAATGAGCAATTTAGCAGTGCTCAGTACAGAAGTATATGGTGCCAAGGTCTCTCTGAGAAGGCAGATGGTTTTTTTGAGTGAAATCAGTGCAGATTCTGTAGATCCACAGGTTGTTACTTTCAGCTCTATTAGTGGTGATGATGACGATATCGTTTTTGCAGAAGTAGATTCAAGTCAGTTAAGACGTCAGCTCTGTGGTGGCAGCCAAGCAGCCATTGAAAGGATGATCCATTTTGGAAGAGAATTGCAAGCAATGAGTGAGCAACTAAGAAGAGAATGTGGCAAAAACACAGTGAATAAGAAAATGCTCAAGGTATTTTTAATCTTGAAACTGTGGTGCTAAGGTGAATAACTGTGCTGCCCAGCAGGAACTTCCCACAGCATGTGGTGCTGGAATTCTGTTCTGCTTTAACTTCTCTCATTTTTTTTGCGTATGTGTGTGTCTGTCTGAGAGCAGTATTCTGGTCAGCCGTGGTGTAGCACTGTCTCCTGTCTTGTCTGTGTAGCACATGCACAGGGAAGATAATTTTGTGCTGTAGTACAATTGAACCCAGAAATTAATTTAGCACTTTCCTTACTCTCATTTCTGACCATGTAACTTGGCCTCTTGAATCAAAGTGCTGCTTTGGGCTCTAATGATAAATGAACCACATGAGGATTGGTAGAGATGCCCAAAATGTGGTCTCTTTAGTACTCTGCATGCTAATTAGTTTACCTTGATTTGAGACTGCTCTGGAAAAGAATTCTCCAGCCAAAGACTCCATGCAGTTTTCAGTCTGTTTTCTCTTACTCCATCACTTACTAAAATACCGCTACCTTTTGTCTTGCTGTTGGGAAGAACACTGCTTGCTCCAAGGGGAACAAGCCCTGTCACAATTTTTTAATCCTTTTGTACTGATAGGCACTGACAGTTACTTTCATGATACTGAATCAAAATAAGTGAATAGTCCTTGTTTTCACTAGTAGCATGTAGCTGTGAAATGTAATAAAAATCATCTTCCCACAGGATGCATTCAGTTTACTCGCGTATTCCGATCCCTGGAGCAGCCCTGTTGGAAATCAGCTTGACCCAATACAAAGAGAACCAGTGTGCTCTGTACTTAATAGTGCAATACTAGGTAGGTATGGCCTGGAGGCTGCCACGTGTGGTGGGCAGTGCCTTTCTCTCGTCCCACACAATGACCCTACTGCTCACCGCGCATCACACTCACTGAGTGAGTGATGAAGAATAGTAATGTTAGGATACGCTCTTTCAGGAAGACAGGGGTAGTTTTGGGGGGCACTTTAATGTAACAGGTGCTTGTCTGTTTTTATTGTTCAGCCCAAAAATGGGCCTGTTCAATAATGGTGCTTATCCAGGGAATTTGAAAATGTCACTTTGCTCTTAGAGCCAGACAGTGGAGGAGCAACAAACTTTGAAAGTAAACACAGGAATTTTGAAATGAGTGATTGAAGCAAGCTTAAATATCAAGGTTTCAGTGTATTGCTATGAAATTAATCAGGTATTTTAACTGCCACTGTGATTCTTTTCCAGAGACTCACAATCTGCCAAAGCAACCACCGCTTGCCCTGGCCATGGGACAGGCATCACAGTGTCTAGGATTGATGGCTCGGTCAGGCATTGGATCCTGTGCGTTCGCCACAGTGGAAGACTACCTACACTAGCTATGCATTTGAAGGTCTGAAAGGTGTTGTGGCATATTCAACATGGAAAGTAGACCAGCTCTGCTGACTGGAATTTGGAATTTTAATTATGTACTAAGGACAAGTCTGTCGCTTTATGTTGCTTCCTAGTTTACAGCATGATGCAAATGATTTCTAACTTAGTGTTAGGAGAAAATTTCCATCTTTAAACCTCTTAGACAACTAAGAGTTGAAAATATCACTGGTAACGTCAGACATCCAAATTGACAAGTACCAATCCTTTAAACGATTGTCCAAAACAAACCAAAAATCCTGCTACCTTGTGGTGGGACGGAAGACTTAGAAAACATGGATGTATTAGCATGTGGGTGATGTAAATGTCAAGCAGGATGACTTGCCAACCTCCACCCCCATTGTTACATAGTTCAATCAGTGTAATTTGCAAAATGCAAATGGTTTGGATATATAGTGTTGATGGGAAGAAATGATATTTTTTAATGTGTACTGTAAAACTTGAATTACTCAGGAGCTGAGTGAATATGTTTGTTGCTACTTACAATCCCAACCTGTTGATCTTAGTAGTTTTTTGTTTTAACATGGTCTTTTCAACTTTGTTTCCTTGTTTAACTACAGACAGCTTCTGTTGTGTAGGCTCACCAGTTTAACTGTTGTATTATAACAGTATTACATGTCAACACAGTGTGGTTATGACCTATTTATATAAAAACCAAATATTTAGTCAATTTACAGTCTTAATTTAATCTTTGTACACCTTGCATTTTTAAAAGTGCTTAAATAGTACTATATTGCAATAAAATGTAGTGATATCATAATTAACCAGCCATTAAAAACTTACTTCTACATACATGGTAGCATGGAGTTGTATGCTACATTGTCTTGGTTCTAGAGTTCCCTCCTAGAACAGCAATTCTTACATAGACCCGTGAATGTGGCTCTAGCCAGGGGGGGTCACGTCCATGCACTGACAGAATCTTATTCAAGCAGTAAGGGATTTTCCTTTACTGCTTGAAAGTAACCATCAGGCTTGAGGGAAGTAAGTGTCCTGCTGTGTGAGCTGACTTAGTGATTCTGCTATTAGGGTACAGACTTCCCTTTAGAGATGCAAGTAACTGAAGCTGCTGTAAGAAATGCAGCATCCGCAACAGTAAGTACAACATGGCTCATCTTTATTCTCTGCAAAGGCATTGCCTCACAGAGGCAGCTCAACAAGCCTGGTCCTAACACCAGCTGTTCTACAACACTGCCCTGCTCATGTCGATTTGTAGCTTCCCCAAGAACTTCTGAAAGGGGGAGAGAACAGGAAAGTCTGATCAGGCACAGCTTGGTGAAGGTCAGTGCCTTCTGGTAGGTGGAGCTGAAAGCAAAGTGATGATGAAATGGGGAAAAAAAAAAAGTGTTGTTTTGAGAGATTAACCTTCAGTAAAAGTCCTTAATATCATCTTCTGAAAAAGCTGTCTTCAGACTCAATTTTTAGTCTGCGTTGCGATCCAACGTTTCTTAAACCTTGCTGCTTTTTCCTTTTTTTCTTGCCCTTAAGAAAAAAATAAATAGCTGTTAGTTAGTTGCCCCTCTGCTGTAGAAGCAGCAATCCAGTGACTGCTGCAGCATTTCAGAACAGAATAACTGACTGGAAAGCTGATAAACTTCCTATGGTATTTTACATACACCAGGTGCTTTCAACTGGCCAGGAGTACCAGCCTGCACCACGCTCCTTCAGAAGGGGGATGCAGGGACAGCGGTGCTTTCAGTGATGGAGCACAAGTGAAAAGCAGATCCTGCATGCTTTAACGATCAGTAACTTTTGTCTCTGGTGTTTGAGAGCCTCACAGACTGTGTGGGTGTGAGTCTGTCCCCAACAGGGGCTATTTCTCTGTGCTCACACAGAAGTTCTGGGAATTTGATATCCCTCTGCTTTTAGGTTTTACACATACCTGGAACACCTTCGAACAGCTCAGAGGCTGGAGGCTGAAACAGCAGTTTTCTTAATGTGCTTTCTTAATGTACCAAAAATGAGGCAGTTTTTTTCCAAGTTGTCTGTGTCTCTCACACCCTCTCCAGGGGCATGCTCACAACACCCACTGAGGCTGTAATGCTGTGCTGCCCTTCCCTTATGATCTTTGGTTAGAGGGTCACAAGCTGCAGGCCTCTAACACAGGAACACTGGTTTTACTCAAGTGTACTTTTAACCACATATGCAAAAGTAGCACCCACTTTGACTTTTTATACTCACCCCAAGATTTGTCCACAAACTGAACTGCAGCTTTTTTAACTGGGTCTTTCTTGTTTGCAAGCGAAAAAAATTCATTTGCTGAAATGAAAATGAGTGTTAATTACCAAGTTTAAGCCAGACAAGACTAGATGTAGACCTGCCTAACCAAAACTGCTTACCCTGTACCCGGTTGGTGTGTGGCCCATAGAGCTGAGCATTTAGAAAGTCTTTGGCGAGCTGTTGGTGGAGGCCTGTTAAACTCTGATCTTTTAAGCACACAGCTGCGTAGTTTCCTTTTGACCTAGTTAAAAAGACAGATGTAAATCCCTTTACCATGGTTACAGAACCCAGAACAACACACATTAGCGTCAAGCTTTGCTACTTGAGCACAACTGCAGCAGTTGCTGGTTTCTGATGCTCAGATGAGCTTGGTGGCAGTATTAAAAAAAATTAAAAATGGGACCAAAACTCTGAAGCTGTTGTTATATGCTTTTGTGTGCCCCAAGTCATTCCTTGGGAGTCTTGAACTAGTTCTCCCAGAAGCCAGTGCAATTCCTCTCTAGGGACATCAGTGACAAAGAAATAAAGAGGAAAAAGAAAAAAAGATTAAAATGCAGGAATTCAGTGCTCAACCACCCCACTTGTAGCAGCACGTAACACAGTGCGTACTGCTGTGCTTATGACTGCCCCATGATCTCATAGCAGTTATATATACCTAACATATAAAAATTATTTATATTATAGATTTTGTTATATATATATATGTGCATGCACACATTAAGGTTGAGAGAATTGGGGATGTTCAGCTTGGAAAAGAGAAGGCTTTAGGGCAGCCTAATTGCAACCTCCCAGTAACTGAAGAGAGCCTACAAGAAAGATGAGAGGGACTTTTTACAAGGGCATGTAGTGACAGGACAAGGGGGAATGGCTTCAAACTAAAAGAGAGTAGGTTTAGATTAGATATTAGGAAAAAATCTCTTTACTGTGAGGGTGGTGAGGCACTGGAACAGGTTGCCCTGCCCAGAGAATCTGTGAATGTCCAATCTCTGAAGGTGTTCAAGCCAGGTTGGATGGAGCTCTGAGCAACCTGGCCTAAGAGGAAAGTGTTGCTACCCATGGCAGGGGGAGTTGGCAGTAAGTGATCTTTAAGTAAGGTCCCTTCCAATCCAATCCATTCTATGATTCTACATAAGCATGCGGTAACAGAAGATATTAAAGATGCTTATAGCACATAATTATGCTTTCAGTAAGAGGAAGAGCAGGGGAAACATGAAGTGCAGAAGAGGGTACAACCATGCAGTGACAGAACAGCTGCTGCAATGCCCCATCCCCCAGGCAAAAGCAGCCACATGGGGCAGACACCCTGGATCATCTCTTCCTCCTCCTACCTGGCACCCTTGCGTGCCTTGCCTTTCTTCACCTGCATTTTGGCTTGGCCTTGCCCTTGGGCCTGGACTTGTTTCTCTTTCTCACCCTCATCTTCAAGTTCTTCACCTGAAGTAACTTTAAAACAAAATTTCCCAAACATTATGAATCAAAACTGATAAGAGGAACAGGAATTAAACAACAAGCATTTTTCAGAAGCACTGAGTAGTAAGAAGGGCTGTGAGAAGGAAGGGAAGAAACATGCCTCAAGGGAGCAACCCAAAGTTGGTGGCTGCTAGCCAGCTTTCCTCTTCCTTGGCATCAACAAAATGGGATTCATTATAGGACAAAAATTCAGTGCAACACAACAGCTACAGGTAACCCACAAATGGGAGTCCAGCCTCAGCTTCAGTCTCACTTAGTTCTCAGCTCATCTCTTTGTTATGCCAATAGATCTTTTTTAAATAAAAGGAAGAAAAAGTAGCAGTTACACCATCCAGCAATATAATTAGGTGAGGTCTGGATGAGAGAATTGTTTAAATAAAAGGGGTTTTGTGAAGTACTTTGAAGTACAGATGAGAACAGCAGTGATAAACATTCTTGACTCTTGACTCTGTAGTTCTGAATTTGAAAAAAAAGTTATTTCATATTTTACAGATGCTATTAAATTATAGTTTGATGCGTAAAGTATCAAGATGATTTAACAACTCTATCCAGGAATAGCCTTTATAATTTACACAAGTGCTGAATATTAACCCACCTCTGGTAATCCTTGCTTTTTCAGCTATAACACCTGCTCAAGATTTCCTTAAACACCTCAGGCTATTTTAACTGAAATCACTGTACAGCAAGCAACTTCTGTAAAAGGCCCAAGAATTAGATTAAATGTGTCTTTAGATTTTCCCTTGGGAAAAGAGAGTCTGTCCACGTTTCAGACTTTCACCAGGGCACTCCCCATTGCAGCTCTGGCACAGAAATGAACTCCTGAGATATCAGAAGCACTCCACGCTAGCAAAGTGAGCTGTAGCATACCTTGGTCATCTGCCGGAGCCTGCTCAGCAGGTCTGGGGAGCAAGGAAAAAGCAACAGGTTACTCTTCCAATTCACACTCACTTCGTCCACTCCCGTTTCAAGCCCGGCCTCCCAATGCCAGGACCCGGCTGGGCAGCTTCCACCGAGACACCCCAGATCCCCCCACACCCCCTCACCCTTCGGGCGGCGCAGGGGTGGCGGCCACATCCTGCAGTTCCTGCAGCTCCTGCAGCACGGCCTCGGGCAGCAGCCTCCGCTTCTGCGGGGGAGAGGGGAGTCAGGCGGGCATTCACCCACTGCCTGCCCGGAGCCAGGTGCGAGCGGGTGGGGGGACGGCGCTGTACCTTCTGCTCCGCGAACAGCTCCTGGTGCCGCCGCCGCTTCTCCTTCAGCAGCTCCCGGTGCCTGCGGGGAGGCGGGAGGCGCCGTCAGCACGGCTGCGGAGTAGGAGAGGCATAAAGGGGGGGAGGAAGGAAGGGAATAAGATGGGGAGAAGGGGGGAATAACGGGGGGAAGGTGGAATAAGGGAGGACGGCAAGAAAGGTGAAGGGGAATAAGGGGGGGATAACGAGGGGTAAGGGGTGAAGGCAGGGTAAGAGAGGGGATGGCAGAGTAAGACAGGTGAAGGGAGTTAGAAGGAGGGTAAGGGGGTGTTGGGGAGGATAAGAGGGGAATAAAGGGAGGACCAGAGCACGGTAAGGAGAGCCGTAAGAGGAGAGCAGGGGTAGTAAGGGGGGAGTAAAAGGGGCGAAGAGGGAGCACGGGACAAGAGGGGTGAAGTGCCCGAGAATGGTCGTTCCGGGTCCGCGTGTGTGTCCGCACCTCCGGGCCGCCTCCCCCACGAGCTTCCTCTCAGCCTCGCCGCCTCCCTCGCCACGCCGAAGGACACCTGCTCCGGGGCCTCGTCCGCCTCGTCCTCCGAGGAGGAGGCCGGGTGGGCAGAGCGGCGGGAGGCCCTGCGCCTGCCCGCAGGCGGCCGCTTCCTCGCCGCACCATCCCACGTCCTGCGCCGCCGCCCACGGAACCGCTCCCGCCTTCCGCCGGGGAATGCCGTGCGCGCAGGGAACCCGCTGCGTGCCCGTGCCCCGCCCCCGGGCGCGGGCCGACAGACACAGGACACCGGGAAGTGGCGGCTGGCGGCGTCCCGACCCCCTTTATTGCCGTGAGGACGCGTCCGGCGAGACCGCGCCTCCTCTCGCCGCCGCTCCTCCCGCCCGGCCGTGCCTCCGCGCTTGGTCCGTCGGGCGCTCCTGAGCTCAGGAGATGATCTCGTCTCGTGTCGTGCAGCGCCGGCGGCAGCGTAGTCCCGCAGGAGGCCCGGGAAGTGAAACCTGGAGAGCGAGAGCGGCCGGTTTTAGGCGCGGGCAGCCACCAGCGCATCCTGCTTTTTGCTGCTTCCTTATCTGGCAGCGCCCGAGCACCTCTGGCAGGGGGGGAGAGGAGGGAAGAGGGGAGAGGGTTGTAGGACTTCTGGGGCTTAGGGACAGACTTCACCCCCACACTTAGGAAACCGCAGTTGTGTCTTTAGTAAAACTTAATTCCACCATGAAAAAACTATCATCTGTTCTTACTTATTAAAATAAATTAATATTTCTTAAGCGTTGGGCAGAAAACTATACCATATTTGCCTAAAACCAGCATTTTAGCAGTTGGATGCAAAAGACAATGAAGATGGAGGGGCCTAAAGGCAGCTACTTTGAACAGCTTCACCTGAATCTGTTTGTGGCAGGAGTAGCTTCCATGTTAAATTCTGCGACTGGCACTCCTCTGGCGGAGACCTGAGGGGCAAACATGGCTGCAGGATAAACCACGGAGGAGGTCCCGACCTGCAGGGACAGGGAAACAAATCACAAGTGTAGCAGGACAGTGGTTAAAACAGACAAAACCAACTCAACCCCTTGGGTGAGGGTCCTTCTTAGAACACTCTATGTGCAAAAGCCACTAAAGCATGGAAGATCCCTACAGAAATTAAACCAAACCAGTATCTCCAATCAGTGTTACTGCATATGTAACTATTTAACATAGCATAACAATCAGGAATTGTTTCTCTGATACAGCCCAAAGAAGTTTGTTTGTGCATTAGAACTCTAGACGAAAAAAAATAATCCCAGAAACAAAACTTTGTCTCCAGGGAAAAAAACCCCAAGACATTCCTTGTGTTGAGATTATTCAATAAAGAGAACACAATATTCTGAGCAAGTGTTTTGCTCAGGGATCTGGAACCTACATGGTGCATGTAAACTACTTCACAAAAAGGGCAGCACAGGGTAACAGCTACCTACCTTCTTACAACATTTAGTCACTTCCTTTCTTTTAGACTGAGCATCAAAATAATTGTATTTTTCACTGTTTGAGAAATTAGATCTATAATAAGGTTTGGGTTGGAAAGGATCCTAAAGATCATCTAGTTTGAATTCCCCTGCCATGGGCAGGAACACCTTTTGCTAGACCAGGTTGATCAGAGCCCCCTCCAGGGGTTGGGCACCTACAAATACTCTGGGCTCCTATAAAGTCTTCCCAGAGCCTTCTCTTCTCCAGCCCTCTCAGCCTGTCTTCATAGAAGAGGTGCTTCAGCACCCTGGATCATCTTCATGGCCCTCCTCTGGACTCAGTCCAACAGTTCCATGTCCTTCTAACACTGGGGGCACCAGAACTGTATGCAGTATTCCAAGTGAGGGTCTCACGAGAGCAGAGTAGAGGGGGTGTGAAATTCAACAGCTAAACAATATTGGCTAACCCCTAACACCTGTGTATCTTAATTTCTGAGCAGTCTCTGTATATGTCCAAACTTCAAGGTCTTTTAATGTTTTACACTTGACACTAGAGAGTCCCTCAGGGGCTTTTAGCTCCTCAGAGAAGCACAGATACATCTGCTTTACCAAGGAGGTGCAACCTCCTTAGCATGGCTTCCCTGCCGGTTCAGAGGACAGGTAATGAAAGTGCCACTCACTACCAAGCAGAGGTCACAAATATCAAGCTCCTTCTCGACTGCTGTGAGAACATCAGGATCCAGGGCTTCACCAAACCACACGACGTGGGGACGCAGGAGCCCATTGCAGCCATCTTCCTCACACCTGTTTAAACATCACCAAGGGACAGCATTACCCTACCGACGTGGACCTTGCAGGCTGCAAAACGTCAAAGCAGTTTTCATACTCACTTGGGCATGTCTTACCTTCCACCACTCTCTCCCTTCTCTTTCACAGCCCTCCCCGCACCCTCCCCCTACTATGTGCTGGGCTGATTCCATACTACACATGTTGGAATTACACACGTGCTGCCTGGTCACATGGAACAGGCTGCTGCACAGTTTTTCAATGCAGATACTTAACTGTGTCTTCCCCTTACTCATCTCCTGAAATGCATGAAAATTAAAACCTTGGCCTCCATTTAACAAATTGGCTAACAGGTTTTTAAGGACAAAGTGAACCAAAGAACAGAAGCATCGTGTTAGCCTCTTCTTAGGGACCAGATGAAAAATACAGTGGATTTTTGCATCTGCAACTAGCTAAGGTAAAGCTTCAGCCAGAATAAAAAAGCACTGTGGCACATTTAATGCCTGCGAGGGACTATGCAGTGGCTGTACCCCAGCACAGTATTCCAGACTAACAGTGGGTGGCACCTGCAAAGTAACAAAACATTTACTGTTGTAGCCCTCATTTTTTTTGCTGCAATTCTCCTACTACTTCACTTACTACAAGCCCCATGAATTTAGGCATGTTTCATCTTGGTGCTCAAGTACACAAATGTGCAATGCCTTTGGCATCGTGGTGACTTCTAGTACACACTCCTGTTGGCAGCTGTGCCCCGTAACTTTAGGCTCAGTTCTCTGGGGCAAAGTTCCACACCTTTCTCTCCTGTGGAATGTCTCTGTGTCCTTCCAAAACAATGTGAACAGTAATACAAGCCTTTGAGATGCACAAAGCATGAAGAGGTAACAGCAAAAAACAAATCAGTCCATACATACTGAGGAAGGTCTTCAACTGGAATCGCAGCATCTGCTGTTTCAGGATCTGGAGCCCTGAAGTTACAAAATTGAAATACATATCCAACCATAAAAAGTGCACTTTATATATTAATAAAAACTTAGTTTTCTTTAAAGCACGCTCCCCAATCAAGCAATCTTTGCAACTCCAGCCAACTTCAACACCTACTGCAGCCCTAAAATACCACACACATGGCAGGCAGGCATTGGTCCAGAATTATCCCAGAGCTGAGTGACTGTCAAGACTGTTCAAGACTGTCAAAGGCACAACAATTATTTATGTAGCTATCTAAAGCTCTGGTGAAATGCAAAGGGAAAAAACTCCACTAGAAATCTGTGAGCATATGCCTGGCCCATACCCCTGCCCACTTCCATTTTAAATGGTGAAAGAAAGAAGATGGCTAGAAAAAGGAGACTGAAGGATACTGGGAACTGGGAACTGATGCTTTCATCCTGATTGTTTCACGCATCTGTATTTTGAGATCTGTAATCAGGAGAATCTTACTGATAAGTTGAAGGTCAAAAGCTACAAGGTGCTCAAGAGATGCAGAAGAGGAAAATGCATGTATAAGACTATGACAGTTCAATTTAAGGAATAAGAATCTGACTTAATAAAAAAAAAATTGAAAGTGAAGAGGATGGGAGTAAAGAAGCATTGTCACGATCAGTTGATGTCCAGTATGAGAGTTGTAGATCAGCTGAAATTGTTCTAATTTGTTCTAATAATGTATCATGTTGACCATGTATAATGTTACATCATGTTAACCTCATGACTTAGAGGTTAACAATCAGTCATTTACAGGAGTTAATGGCACCATAGGCGCTCACTGGAGTTACCAAACAGTATCCTCATGTTTAATAATGCTTAAAATTTAAGCATTATTAATACTAAAGTAAAACGAGGTGGTTGGCTGGAACTCCCATATGCTCTTAAAATGGCTCCTTTGCTACTGAACAGCAGACAAAGTAAAAAGCACAGAGAGTTTGCAAAGCAGACACATTACCCTTTCCCGGCCAACGCAGGGCATATGGGGCTCTTGTAATTCGCAGCTACGTTTCCACAGCTGGTGCACCGAGTTTTAAATAAACTACCTGAAACACACAAAGAGAAAACATTAGGGCTGAAGCGATGGCTCTGAGGTGTGGCTGTACAAGCAAGTAGTTGTGTTTATCCCAGGCAGCCTTTATTTGACTTTGAAGACCACACCTGATGGGTAACTTACTACATAGACGTAACAGCCAAATGTTGAAAGCTAGCAGCATTATGAACGAGATGCTGTTTACACAGCACATACCCACACTCTTTTGTTGAGCAACCCAAGGTGACTAGTATCACCATTAATCATACACCCAGCCCAGCAAAGGTAGACTTTCACTGTCAGCTGAAAAGCCGCAGTGAAAACAGCAGCAGTCCCACTAAGCTATGATGTATTACCTTGTTCTACCTCAGGACATGAGTTATACGCAGTCCTGTAACAGTATTTTGGAGAAAAATCATAATATAAAATATCACTGAGGGAGATTATTTCTGCTTATTGCTTTTCCCATTAGATCAGAAACATTTTCTTTAAAAAGAAAACAGAAATACACAGATTAACACCATGTTGTTTCATGCAAAACTCCCAACCTCAAGACTTTTGTAGCATTAGTAACATGCTGTAGAGATGAGCAATATTACAAAGAGTTTTAAATTGTTTCCATTTTGTAAAAAATACAGATAACCAAAATTAAACTATACTCAAGGCTTCACCCTTGGATGCACAACTGCAAAAAATTTTGTGCAGGTTTCTTGTGTCCAAGTCACAAAAGTAGCAGTGGGAAATCCCATTTAAACCTTTTGTGATACTCAAGTTAAAAAGCACCGTAATGCTGGAGGGCCAGGATGGGTCTTTGTCCTGGGAGATTTCCACTCCATGCAGGGCCTGCAGAGTGGAGAAAAGAGGAGTGGGACACCTCTAAGGGTGGAGAAGGGCTTCCCCACCCTCCTTCTCTCCACACTTGCACATTTCCTCAGATCCAAAAGCCCCAGTGACCTCCAGGTGCTGCACCTGACTTCTGCTCTGGCACTTTGTGGGAGAGAGGGTGGGAGTGAGGAATGCCACTGACTACAGGAAAATGACAGGGAGTACCACTGTGTGTAGGAGAGAAAGGTTAGAGAATCTCATCTGTTTCCAGATCCTTTGTCCTCCTGTAGCCAAGGACTGCACAGGTGGGGACAGGGTAGAACAGGACAGAGGGAAACTACCAGGGTTGGTGAGGCCAGTCTTGCCAATACATCTTTTATTGGCAGGAGAACTGGTCTGGCACCACCACTACCACACAGTGGGAGCCCTTGGGGATTTTTTTCCCCATTTCTAAAGTGAAATCAGCCAAGTGTCACAGTCAGATGTATTCAGGTGGACCTGAGGCAAAACTGAGCAAGCGGGAAGGGAGAACCAGTTCCTGTCTATTGCCAAAAATCCATTAAAAACAGGAAGATGAGGTTCTGAGATTCTAAAGATGAGAAATAAAGAGGATATGAAGTACCTGAAACAGCTTTCAAAAGAGAACAGGGTGTGACTGTAAATAACTTTATGCAACTTATAATTTTAAAGACAAATTTCTTTTGTCCCAGTACTTATCCTGTTTTATCTTCTCCCCACTGCCCACCCTGGGTTTTCTGGCCTGTAGCAAAGAGGTAAACCAGCTCGTACCGTGAATTTCTAAGAGGTGCTTTGTGCCTGCCTTCCTGTGCAGCTCATCAATATTCTGAGTAATGACCACAACGCTCCTTCCTTGCTTGCTCAGACGCTTTTCACACTCTGCAATGGCAATATGTGCTGCATTTGGATGTTTACTCAACATCACTTCCCGTCGGTAGTGGTAAAATTCCCACACACGGGAAGGGTTTCGCGCAAAAGCCCCGGGAGTGGCCAGCTCCTGGAAAAGATGTAACAAGTCACTCTACAAAAAAAGGGCAAGAAAACCCCTTCCCCAGATGAAGCCTGCTGGATCACTGGCACTTACACTGCTACTGTATTTATAACCATGTGCAGTTGATAAGAATATAGATCAATATCCCTTACGAGGATGACAAGTCAAGGTGTCTTATCAAATCAGAAAATAACTTACAGAAATAGTGTGGTGTGTGGGCTTACACAGTACACTTGGACCTTATTCTGTGCTGCCCTACCAAACTATCAGGAGTTTAATGCAGCCCAAAGGAAACAGAGATATTTCAATGCACGCAATTTTTTGACATCGAAAACTCTCTTTTCCACAGCAACCATAAAACACAGCATAATGTGGATATATTTCTTTTGCTAGGAATTTCTTTTCTGCATTTTTAAGTGTAACATGAGCTAAATTACACACATTGTCAAAACCAAAGTCTAATGTCTTGTCTTTTATGTGCTGGTAAAATTGAATCTCTGCTTTTCACAGCAACTTTAACTTTGCCTTATCTTTTCTAAAATCAGGAAGTAAGCTCCGTCTAGCATCTCAAAGCACAGTTCTGCTAACATTAAAACAGTGAATGCAAGTTTCTGTTGCAGCAGGACCAGTCATTTATACACACACAGGTTTTATTTGCATTGCTAGTCACTTGAAAGAAACAGCTCATCTTTAGATTCAAACCACCTTGAAAAACTCACCTCTTTGACTCCTTTTTAACTTTAACAAATCTTTCAGGAATGTTGTAATTAAAAACTACATAAAAGGCAAATGTGATTGCAGTGTTTGGAGCAGCAAGTACTGACGGCATAACAGTTGCTTGAAACATCTGCGGCACCAACCAGGATGAGACTCACGAGGCACCTGTACAGCTGGCACAGTTTGGTGCTTGCAGCTGCACCACTCTACCCTCAGTGTCTGTTCCCACCTTTTCTCCCACCCCAGTGGCTCCCAGTGTTGGCAAGATCACTCCAGTGAGAGAGACAGAGCTTGTGGAAGAGTTAAAGTGTGAGGAACCTGCCCCCAAACAGAACAAAAAAGTCCTAAAGCATTTTTAAGAAGTATTATGAGACACCAAGATTAAAAGAAAACAACTAGTCACTATCATTGGTTCTTCCTTTGCTAGTTTGGTAAAACTCTTAGGAGTTTAAAAGAGGAAAGGCCCCACAATGTAGGAAAAACCCTGAGGGTATTAAACGATGAGCAAACAGCTGAACTGCAAGGCAGCAACAAAACAAGGACAGTAGAAAGACCCAGAGCTGCCTGCAAGAATGCTGTTTTACCCAAGCAACTGATAAAATGACAGAAAAGAAGTTGCAGCTGCACCAAACAGACTCCCAGGTCACTGGGAAGAGCTGCAGAGGCAGTTGTAGGGAGAGCTCTGTCCCTGCCAAGCTGCTATGGGAGCACTTCCACTGTCTCAGGTCCTCAGCTGCTTCTGACCTTCCACACTCACCTACCCGATGGACAGAGAAGCACAGCTGCACAGTCATGGGGCCACCAGTACCTACCTGGGCTTGCCACTTTCTCCAGAAACCTCCAGCCCCCCTGAAGGTAGGAACGCCACTCTCCGCACTGACCCCAGCTCCTGTGATAATGGCAATGTGCTTCGCCTTGGCAAACACCTCTCGAAAATCAGCCATATCTGTGCGTGGGGAGGGAAAATAATTACAGCTGCTCAAGCACTTACACTTTTACATAAGAGCAACACAGACAGAGCTGGCACACTTATGCATCCAGAAATGGCTTCGAGGTACACCTCCCATGACTTTAATTTCAGAATACCAACTGGTTTCTGAGTTTCTGTATATTGGAACGTGAAGGGCAGTTCCTGGGGATCCTCAAAAATGCATATGAGCAAGCTCAGTAGGGCAACATGTGCTAAATCACGAATATAGTCAAGATTTGAAAGCAGAGCCTTTAACTGAAACCTCACACTAGATGCTACCTCGATAACAACTGTTGTTACCACCACCCAGGAACAGTTGCTTCCTTATTGTTAGGTAAGATCCTAAGATGAAAAAAAAAAAGTTTGTTTCACGAAGTATCACCTTCAAAATTGAGGCAATTTGGGAATACCCATTTCCTTCTGAGGCATCCTGCCCATTTCCTAGGTTTGCAACTAAGAAATAGGTTTACCACTATTTTTTATTTTTGAATGTATTATTCCCTTCATTTTTCCATGCACAGGAAAGTATTTTGGGAAATACGTGGCAAGTTTCCTTTGCCTTTTTCTATGAGTCAAAACAAGATTAAAAAGGAACAGGTTAGCTACAGAAAAACCAAAATGTCTCTTCCAGTTGACTTCAGACACTAATTTTAAGGTAACATATTTTAGAATCACAAAATGGCTGAAATCAGAAAGGACCTCTGAAGATAATCTAGTTCAGCCCCCCCCCACTCAAGCAGGGTCAGCCAGAGCAGACTGTCCAGAACAGTGTCCTGTTGGATGGGTTTTGAGATCTCCAAGGATGGAGACCTTCCTGCACAACTCATGCCAGTGTTTGACCACCCTCACAGTAAACAAACTGTTTTCTTGTGTTCAGATGGAATCTTGTGTGTTTTGATTTGTGCCCATTGCCTCATGTCCTGTCACTGGGCATTGCTGAGAAGAGTCTGCCTTGTCTTCACCCCCTCCCCATCGGGTGTTTTTATGCATTAATTAGATCCCCTCATGAGCCTGATCTCCTCCAAGCTGAACAATGCCATCTCTTCAGCCTCTGTTCGTATGTCAGATTCTCCAAGTCATCTTTGTGGCCCTTTGCTGGCCTCTCTCCAGTATGCCCATGTCTCTCTTGCCCCAGGGAGCCCAGCACTGGACCCAGCATGTCAAATGTGTCTCACCAGGGCTGAGCAGAAGAGAAGGATCACCTCTCTGGAGATGTCCTACTGAGTACAGCCCAGACACCCATTAGCCTTCATTGCCACAAGGGTTCATCGCTGGCTTATGGTCAACATGGTGCCCACCAAGACCTCCAGGGCCTTTCCTGCCAAGTTGCTTTCCAGTTGGTCACCCCCAGCTGGTCCTAGTTCTTGGAGCTATTTTTCCCCAGGGCAGGACCCTCTGGAGTATCAGCCACTCCTTCCAGCTTCATAGCGTCTGAAATCTGAGAGTACACTCTGCATTGTCATCCTGATCATGAATTAAGATGTTAAACAATATTGGCCCCCAATCCTGCAGTACAACGCTAATGACTCTCCAGCTGAACTCAGAGCTGCTGATCGCAAACCTAATCCCCACAATTTACTGTGTGTCTTAAAAATAAAACAAAACAAAACAAAACAAGACCCCACAAAGCCCCATCCAAAGGCAGGTAAGTTCCTGTAAGGATAAATAATTCCTGGAGAAGTCCCAAGACCCACAGCACAAGAGCCACAGAACTGGGCAGAGAACGCTACTATTCTGCTGCCGAGTCCACCGTTGTAAACAAAACCTCACAAGCTCTGAATGTGTAAAGCTCAAGCCAAAACCCCTCCCAGCCTGGTCTCTGACAGCAACCAAACGCTGATGCTCAAGGTGGCAGAAAAAGCAAGTGCACCTCAGCACTTGGGGGTTTGCTTTGTACCTGTTAAGTTCTGTGTGCAGTTTTCAAGTTAAGGTACACTCTCAAATTAAAAAAACAAAACCAAAACATCCCCATACAAAGAAAAGCAGAATATTTACCACTGCTAGCCTGCACAGGGCTGCTAGGGTTACCCAACAGCCTGCTCCTGAGCCGTTACAAATGCTCCAGGCCCTCCATAATTCTTGTACAAAGAAATAAGGAATGAGTTTTAATACTCATTAGGATTATGAGAAGGAAATGCAATTAACTAGTGTATGTTTACGAGCGTAAATTACAAGCACTAGAAACACGTCACAGGGCAACCATGCTGACTGCAATTATGCAGGGGTTTGTGGAACTAAACAGACACACAATTTTAACAGCTGGAGGAATAAAAAGCAACTTCACACTCTTCTAAACATTCTGAATTAACCTATGGATTTCATCCAGCACCCAAAAGCTTCTAGACTTCCATATCCACCTTAAAAGCCTGTCCGGGCCGCTTAAGCAAACAAACCGATGCCTTACTTGAACTAGGACGAGCCATTTCCAAGCGAAACTTCTGTCCCTTTGCCGACGAAGCCTTAAGCCCACAGTGCGCCTGGGAAACCAGCCTTCTGGCGGTAAATTGGAAGAGACACATCGAGAAGCACCTGCACCTGGGAAGAAAAGAGACGGAGAAGAAGCGGCCTGTCTGAGGCGCGTTAATTTTTCTCCGCAAGCTTGCCGGCGACGGAGCTCTCCACAAAGAGCCAGGTGCAAATGTCAACCGCGATTTGGTTTTGTTTTGTTTTGTTTTGGTTTTTTTTTTTTGCGCTGCCTCACGCCGAAGCAACTCCCAGGAACCCGGCTCTGTCAAACCGGCATTTTAAGGAAGCGGAGGGGGAAAAAAAAAAAAAAAAAAAAGGGAAAAGGGAAAAAAAAAGGGACGAAGCCGCCGCGGCGCAGCCCAGAGGGCACAGAGCCTACGCTGCATCTGCCCTCCCGCAGAAGGGCGAAGGGGAGCAGCGCGGGCGGAGGAGCCCCGGGGGGGAGGCGCGGAGGCGGCCGCCTGGCCGCCTCCGCCGCTCCCCCTCGCCGGGGCTCCGTCCGCCCGCGCGGTTGCCGGGCCCTTGCTCTAAGCGCCGGGGTCGCCGGTTCGAGCCCCGCCGCCGCCAACTCACCTCGCCGGCGGCGACCGAGGCCGAGCCGTGCTTCTCCGCACGTCCCGCCCCGCGCCCGGCGACGGGGCCGGGCCTAGGCTCCGCTCCGCCTTTCCCCACACGGAGTAGGGGGGGAAAAGGATAGCGGTGTTAAGGTGGCGAGGAGGGTGTGGATGGACGGACTGGTGGATGGGTGGTGGCGTGTCCTCGCATTAGCTTAAACTGTACGCGAACAGGTCGGAAAAAAGCGAGATGGTTTTTTTTGTTCCGGCGTCATCCCTCTCGAGGTCCGCCCTCAGGCATTCGCAGTTTTGGGCACCCGCTGATGAAAAACCTATGGTGCCGCGCTTGGACAGCGCGCAGTTTCCACAGGTTTTTTTTTTTTACGAGAAAAGATGGGTTTTAGCGCTTTTTTTTTTTTTTTTTTTTTTTTTTTTTAAATGAGAAAAGCTGTTTGTAGTTTGTTTTTCTTCTGCGGAAAGAAGATTGCTGCTGCTTTCACGCAGACTCTTCCTCTCCGCCCTTCCCCAACCCCGCCTTTTAAAGCGTCGTGGCCCTTTTCAGAGATGGCGTACAATTCCCCCCTCCCTCCGCTCCCGTAAACAACCAGCTTAAACAGATGAAGAGGTTTCAAAAACACGTACCCAGAGGTGGAAAAGGCTGAAAGGCAAGTCCCACCGTGTGGGATGTGCTCTTTCAAGTCCACCACCAGCCCCGCAGGCCGGGGGCAGCTCCTGTCTCCCACCCGGCCTCTTGGCACAGGGCATGTTCCCTGATAGAGTTACCCGAGGGCAGGGGAAGAGAACACCCAGAGGTTGCTCCCAAGGGCTTGCGGCCGATGTTTCTCTCATTACGCTGCTCCCTGGCACTTGTTATTGTTTACTTAGTACCAGCACGTCGTACTCTGTCTGCCTCCAGCTGCAAACACGACGGAATCCTTTGGTGGGGGAACCTTTGCGCGTTGCTGATCAAGCTGGACCGTGCTGGCTGTTCTCTGAGCACTCTGCCTGAGTCTCCATAAAGGCCCCACTGTGCTTGGAAAACCAGCACATCATAAACTCGGAAAACAAGATGAAGGCCAGTGTGATCTCGCTTAGCATTCCAACTACCCTGATGGTCAGAATTTGGTAATGCTACGTGGAGTGGGTCAGATTTGCTGAGGTCAGATTTGCTGAATGAGGGACTGACTCTGCTGAAGGTTATTCAGTATCACGACTGGGGTTGGTTTGGTTTTTTTTTTTTAATCGAGATCTTGGTATGGACTGGACACCCTGCTTATTAGGCTGTGTATTTTGATGCTGGTTAATATAAAAAAAAGCAATTTGCAGTTGCATTATCACCACGTTTTTCACACCACTGATTCCAAAGTTCAAGACAACAAACTCCTAGTCTAACATTACACTAACAGGAAAAGGTGCTTCTGTTTATGTACTAGAGTTTTGAAAAGCACATCAACCAAAAAGCTTTCATTTTCTCATTACGTCATTGCACTCATTAGATATGTTCCTTCTAACTTTACATTAACCCAGGGCAGGGCATGTTAACATGCAAGGTTTGCAGAAGTACAGGTCTTTTAGTAACAACAGAACTCACAATAGCACAGGTTATGCAAAATGGGTACAGCACAAGGCTGGCTTGTTTTGGTCTCTTTGGCACATACAGATTGCATACCCCAAGAGGCACAATGATCCCATGGTTTCAGAAGCAATCAATCATGCATTCTGTATTCTCAGAGGTCTGAAACAATGAAGAGCCCAGCTCAGCTGATGCTAACCTGCCATAAGAAAATGGCCATGTTGACTTTCCAAATTGTTTGTAGTGGCCTCAAACAAATATGTTTATGCACATGTGTACGTATATTTTCTAAGAAGCTTTATAAAAGATTAAAGTGACATCTAAAATTAACTTCAATATAGTGGGGTGTTGGGTGTAGATATGTGGCAGTGTTCTACAGTCATTTGTGCCTGATAAAATAATTCTGCATAAAATGTTTTTCTATTATGGTAATTTTCTCCAGCAGCAGTGTCATTAATGCAGTGAGAGCAACTCTAGGTGGACAATAGACGTATGAAATGTTCTGCAAGGATATGCATTTCACCAAAAACAATTAACACATAGGAATCCTGTCTCAGAAGAGCCAAAAGCCATGTCAAGGGCAAGTGCACTGAACTTCATGGCCCCTCCTTTCACCACCTTTCCCCGGCACATTGCCCTCCCAGCAGCCAACCCTGTTGTAGGCAGCTGAGGCCTTTACATATTTAGCAATGATTCTCTCTGGTCTGTGTTCCAGGAACTTGTCCTGTCTCCCCTTGACCCACACAGCACCATTCTCTGTCAGGAGTTCCCTGACTCTGCTCCCTCTCCTGTGAGGGACAGGGAAAGCAGAAGGTAAGGAATGTGTATCCACAGGGGCTGCTATTTTCCTCTTACGCTGCATGACCCAGTCAGTGGTAAGACACGCTAACACCATCCAGTCTTCCACTCCAGTCATACTGTCCTTCAGCATTTTTACAAAGTTCTTTGCATCTGAGCACCATCAGCTAGAAACAGCTTACTATTTGACCACAAAGCCTAATTGTATCAAATACAAGCAAAACATTTTTTTTTTTAAATCCCAAGTAAACAGTCTGTATTCTAACACACAGTAGGTCTGTACCAATTAAATACAGTATGGCAGTATATAAATTACAGTTCTTTACAGTAAATAGTAAAATACGAGAGTCCGCTTACTGTACACAACAATCAAAGAAAGAACAGCAGCTTTTCAGTAAGGTCCCAGGTATCTCAATCATTCGCTTGCTAAGGAACAAAGAACAGATACAGCAGGCCATTCACTTCACTCATTTTTTACCATGTTACTTTACAAATATCCAGAACGCTTGTACAGGCATCTACAGTATCTACATGTGGAACAACCTTCTTAGGAATTCATGAGCACCAGACATAAATCCCTCCATCATTCCCATTATTAAAATAAACTTTACAGATTAAAATTACTTTAGCAGGTTCTATTTCATCTTGATAATAACCAGCAAGTAACAAGTGCAAAGTTTGCAGTCATGATCCATTTACTGCTTCTTTGTTTCCCAACTTCCCCCCCACACACCCAAAAAACCCAAAACCCCCTAAAAAATCCAAAATGTTGTCCTCTCACACCCTTGCAGTAATACTGTTTCTGCAGTCAAACTGCCCAGCTGCTTATGTTAACACGTGAAATGCCAGACGTATATAGCTTCAGGCATCATTAGTCATTCCAATCAAATGCCAAGTCAGCACAGTGGCAGGCCTCTAGGAAGACAAAAAATACGTAGCAGTTGGATATTTCAGTGTGCTTAAACACGGAACATAAGGCTGCACGGTGCCCAGTGACTAAAAGAAACATGGCACCAAGTTACCAGTTAAAACATTTACAATAGAAAGATATAAACAGCAAATATGTCAGTCTAAAACAAGTTCTTTGGTAATTAAGAACAGCAAACTGTAGCTTTTTTTTTTCCAAATACGGATTTACATCCTGGTTTTTTCCACAATAAAATATCTTTTGTTGTTTAAAATATATCTCCCAAGTTGTTGCGTAACAAATAGTCCAGTACCTCAGTTATCTACAGATCAGCTTTAACTGTATTTTAGTGTGCAGCCGTATCTGCCCTCTGGCAGACAAACTATAGATACACATTCATATATATATAATATATATATTATTTATAAAAAATTAGAGAATTAAGTCAAGGACTCTAGAGAATACACATTCCGTATGGACAGATTAAAATGTACAATAGCTTCAAAAATCCATAAAGTTTTCTACACAGTAATGCGTGTAGTAAGTGCAAAAATACTGCAGTTTAGTTAATCCAAGATTTCCTGTTTTCCTGTTTCCTAGAAAAAGCAGAAGCCGCTGCATCTCCCGAATGGCAGAAGACGTCTCCTCCTGTCTTAGGAGTGGCTGATGAGCCTTGAAGCACAGAACTTTTCCGTTTCTCTGAAGTGGAAGATGCCTGACACCGTGAAGTGCTACTCCATTTCCTTGTGGAAGCTGGTGCTTTACTGAGGCGCCCAGGACGAACAAAGACACCGTGTCGTGGTTTGCAGTGGAAGTACTCTTTGCCTTTTACAATTCCATCGTGCTTTCCTTCAACGAAAAGAAATGCACAGGATTAAATGTTGGTACTTTCATTAGCACATACAATTGAGGTGCTGAAGCGTGAATAGCTTTGGTCATCTGCAAAATACTCAAGATCATTCATGATGAGTCATGAGGCCAGATGCTCACAATACACTAGGGCGAACAAAACTTGGAAAGGAGGGCTTGAATTGTAACCAAAAAGATGATTTTCTAAAATGTTACTTTGTTAACTAACAGTTTAAAAAGTCAAGCACATGTTCATTTTACAGAATAAACTGTCCTCCAAACCAATTGCTTGCAAAGCTTAAAATTTAGCTGCCAGACAAACTTCTGGTATCAGTGATAATATGTATTATCTAAACTACTAAAAACATCATCTTAACGCTTGCAGAACACTGACTTTTTCTGACCCCTCTGAACTGAAGTTAAAGAAAACTTGTATCCTGGAATTCAGCTTTCCCCATTGGAAAACAAAAGTAAATCTCTGAAAGCCACTGACAGCAAACCAATTTGACAAATGATGCACGTTGTCAGCAACGCCCATGAACGTGTGTGCATGTTGCTTTTTAAAAAAAATCTGCCCATTTTAGGCTTTTCTTGTTTCTCTGATCTGTAAAAACAGATGGGTACCAATGGGAACTACTACAACATCCAAAAACATTATTCTGCATAAAGCAAGAAGAGCAAGGCTTTAAGATAGATAAAAGTTGATTAGAATATCCCTATAAACAGAAAGTGGAGAATATCAGATACCAAGCTTCACAAAATTGGAGAAACTTCCCAGGACTGAATAGGAATGAACTGTACTGCAACTTTAAAAATTGTTCACACTAACTGCACAGATAACCCAGAGCATATTTAGTCTTACCCAGCTGAACATTTAGTTCTACTCCAACCCAGATTCCAGCTGAAAAATCCACTGTTCCAACGTATCTCACTGTGCCCATCTTATTACT